GCGAACCAGGAAGTTGACTGGTAAATACTTAGAAAACCGCAGGTGGCCAAACCAAAAAGAACTATCGGTTAAGAAGAAAGTGAAGGAAACTGAGACTGACATGTGGAGAATGGGCATGATTAAGAAGTCCGCACTAGAGACCTATCGAACCTTTAAGCAGGAAATTGCCAGGGAAAGGATCTATGATAATACTCGGGGTAGTTCTCTACTGTTTGAGGCCCGGACGGGAGTACTGCAACCAAGACATATCGGGCCAAATACGAAGGGGTAGACACAGTATGCAGTGCGTGTGGAGAGGAAGAAGAAACTGCCGAACACTTGATAATGTTCTGTAAAGGGCTTCACCCTATAGTTCAGGATGATGGCGCTGCGTTTTTCAAAGCACTGGGGTTTAGGGACCGGGAGGGCAAAATAGACTTTAAGCGGGTAGACTTAACTAGAAGGAGGTTATCTGATTGGTGGCTAAAGTCAAGGCACGAGTGAAAATTAAACTCTTCACTGCAAAGTACGAATCCTCAAACTCACTTTTTAAGAAAAAAAAATAATAAATATAGTTTTTGGTTCATTAGGTGTTACGGCTTGGTGGCGCTAGCCACCGCCCGATCTAAAGGGTACAGCCATATCCATCCATCCATCCAGCCATCCTCCTCTTTTTCATTATTGCCAGCACGGAGAAAGGAAAGGAGAAGGCATGCCCATCCGGCGCAGGGCGTAGAAAAAAATGTGGCGGAAATTAATCACAGCGGCCATATTCACTAGGCACAATGGCGGCGTTTTGTTATTGTTGATGTAGTGCGGTGCGGCACCGTTCAGGTGGTCCAGTGGCGGAGTGCGCGTTTTCGTGGGCCTCGCATCTAACCGTGGCGTACTGCAGTTGTTCGACAGCATCAATTCTTTGTGCCGCATTGTTAGCTACGCGATTTTTCTCCGGTGGTGGTTGTCACCAGGTGTCTGAACTAGAAACCACGGAACGAGCGCGCGTATACGTACTCAGAATTGGCGGCATCCGTCAAATTATGCTGAAAAGCCATCATAGAAGATAACGACTGTGCTCAAGAATTCGTTCAATGAATGTCTTGCAGGTTAGTGACAGGTATGCGGTGTTGCTCCTTATGAAAACAGACGATGCATTTGCGGTCTATACGCCCTTATTAAGACTGTAATCCAATCTTGCTTTTCATGTTACTGTACAGTTACCACATGCTTCTGCGCATGAATGTTCCTGTTCTGCTTCGCGTAAGATACTCGCTTTTTGCATTATTGTCTCGCTCTCCGCAATAATGTCTGTATTGTAGCAAAACTCGTCAAAATGTCTACACACACCTGCACAAGGTAACCAGGTGCACCTCACTAGATACGCTTGCTTGTGCATTCAGAAGCTGACAAAGCCATTCGAACGAAGTTGACCAAATGATTTGAGAACTCAAATAGAACGAGTAAAACACATTTTATTGACACCTACGGCAACAGCAAGTATGGGGTGAAATTGTGAAGCACACAAGGAGCAGTAAATGTACAATTCAATGACGCACAGAAATATTTCACCTCAAATATTTGTGGCTACAGCAATAAAAAAAAAAATCTGTCCCGGAACTTATCCTGGAGACATCTTCCCTCGCATTTGGCTGGCTTTCCCTGCCGTCCTTGGCGGCTGTGTCGACGCGTGAAGCTTCCCGCAGACCTTTTCTCCCGCATTCCTTTGGCTAACTTTCCCACCTTTCGCCCTAACGCAATCCTGGTCTCCGTTCTCCGTAGCTACGAGTGCGTGTGAATTACACTGGAGACGTCTTCCCACGCACTTTCGGGTGGTCTTTGCTGCTTTCGTCCCAATGAAATCACGGCCTTTGGGATATCCGTAGGAACCAGTGCGCGTCGGACAAAAGAGAGGCGAAAACAAAGAGGCCGGCGCAAACTCAACGGGCTTCCACACATAGAAGCTCCACCGACGCCGACTTTACTGGCATAATTACGGACCTCCGGGTTTATTGCTGGGAAGACATTTTTTGTTTTTTTATCGTTGTGTCTAGCTTACAGCCTGACCGAAAATTTCATAAAACCTAAACAGAAGCGCAAAAGGGGGAAAAAGTGATCCGGAAGAAGCTGTACAAATTTCGGCGTCTGGTTCATCGCGTGGCAATGTCCGAAATATCATCTTTATTTGCACAAAAAACACATCGAATAAAAAAAAGTCTAACGTGCAACTTGCCGTATTTATTGTAAACGCCGGCAGTGCAAGAGTACAACAGCCATACGCAGAGATTTCGTCAACCGAATCGCGGCAAGACAGCGTGTTGAAATCCGTTCTGTTGGTTTCGGATAGCACCGCCGCATGTGGCGCGCAGGTCACGTGCTTTTTAAAACATAGAGGGAGTCGCGCCTTCTGCTTCGCGTTCATATGTAAACGAGAGAGGAGAATTCGCCCAGTCAATATGGCCGGCTTCCGGCTTTATCGCGGCTTCACAACGAGTGACGTCAGGGCCTCTCCTACCTTTCCTTCCTCCGTGATTGCCAGCAAGACGCGACCGATTCAACATTGATGAGACACTGTCTGAGGCGAGGTCAAACATAAATGGCCGCTTGTTCGGCAGAAGACCATCGTCTTTCGACGACCCTTGCAGTGAAGCCAGTGGATGCTTGACCAATTGTTTTCTTTCGTGATATGAAGTGCTCTTTTTTTTTCGTATAGCATTCCTGTAGTGCTCGCCTCGAGAGGCCTGAACAGGCCCACACTGTTGCATTATTAAAATCTGACCGCTCGACTGTTCAGTTTGTGGGCCCTCTTTTGAACTACGTGAGCTCGCAGGGTGCCTTATGCACTCAATGAAAGGCGAAAATATTTATCATCATCAGCATCATCATCAACTTCTTCTTCTTCTTCTTCTAGTGGCTAAGGTACTAGGCTGCTGACCCGCAGGCCGCGGGTTCGAATCCCGGCTGCGGCGGCTGCATTTCCGATGGAGGCGGAAATGTTGTAGGCCCGTGTGCTCCGATTTGGGTGCACGTTAAAGAACCCCAGGTGGTCGAAATTTCCGGAGCCCTCCACTACGGCGTCTCTCATATTCATCAGTGGTTTTGGGACGCTAAACCCCACATATCAATCAATTCTTCTTCTTCTTCTTCTTCTTCTTCTTCTTCTTCTTCTTCTTCTTCTTCTTCTTCTTCTTCTTCTTCTTCTTCTTCTTCTTCTTCTTCTTCTTCTTCTTCTTCTTCTTCTTCTTCTTCTTCTTCTTCTTCTTCTTCTTCTTCTTCTTCTTCTTCTTCTTCTTCTTCTTCTTCTTCTTCTTCTTCTTCTTCTTCTTCTTCTTCTTCTTCTTCTTCTTCTTCTTCTTCTTCTTCTCAGTTGATGCATTCATCCAGTCTTGCCACACTCCGAAAGCTTTCTGCACCGAATGTGCTTTCCCAATGGTTGCAGGATAACAGGTACGTAGCTTTGTTCCTCGTGACAACCGTAATTGCCCCACCTTCACGATGACATTACAGTGACGTCACGATTATTAGCCATTTGTGACGTAATAGTGACGTTATATAATGATGTCATCGTGTGATTGAGTCACTCGTGTTAAACGCCATCGAATGGAGATGGTGATGATAGACGCCATTCGATTTTGAAATTGGATGAGACATCTCAGGCAACTAACCCTGCGTCTGTCACTCCCTCCCAAGTAAAGCTAGCGTGGTTTGGCTTTCATTGGAGCACCCTTGTACTAACAACCCTCGTCTGATGCTCGATTTTCGAGTATTCAAGAATGGCTGATGCAACAAATAGACAACGAAAATCTAATTTTTCGATTTGATAGGTGAAGGTTTAACGTCTCCAAACTATGCTATGATTATGAGCGATGCCAAATATAACTTCCTAAATAAGTTGTTACGCACAAGTGTAATTTTAGCTCCACAGAACATACGTCCTTGTAGAATGCGTTATCCCTGGAGGCAAGCACCGGCATTTAAACGCAGGGCCAACATTTAAAATAAAAAAGAAACACCTAAAAACTAAACATACATTGAGAGCCTGCGTAATCACATAATTCGGCCAGCCTAACAAATATGTGTCGAATTTATTCACATTTAAATCAACCCTTCTTGCTGTCATGCGGACTTTCGCGAAAGAAGTTCAATTAATTTTTAAAGACGTAGCCCTGCGAGATCGTTTGTCGTTACGGCAAAGGTTGGTACATATTCGTGGTTATGATGATGTACCACTGCAGTTAGCATTGATTGCTTGTGGACAGTGCTTGTATTATCGAGTGGTGACACATGGCACCCAAGAGAAACAAGCTGACTATTAGCGGTGCTTGGTGACAAATAACATTGATAAAGTAATTTTCTTAAAAGTAGACATTTTGTGCTTGGAGGTCATGAAGGTGCTGTCGAAAATCGAGCCAACTAAATACTCGATCGTCAGAAGTGGAACGTATTAGTCACTTAGTCACCGCGTATATCTGCACTTCATTAAAATTATTGCTCTATCTATACAGGAAACCAGGAGTATCATGCTTTGCCTCTTCTTTATGTGATTGATTGGTCCACAGCTCAAGAATATGTGATGGTTAACAAAGCTGCTAGATTCATGTTACTCAGTTTCATAAAAACCACTTAATGGCTTATGACAGATCGCGGCTCCAAGGCAAAATAGTGTTGCAACCACGTACGTCCGTTAATAGTTCTTTATATGAATTACACTTATTTGTTATGAATTACACTTACTCGTTACAGAAACAGTAAAGATCTAACATTCTTCTTACAAGATAGCTTGAATGCCGAAATCTCAGTTTTCCCGGCATTTATTTAGTTGCGGCATACTTCATCACTAGTTGTCACAGCTTGACGTCATGGAATTTCAAATTGTTTTCTCTTTGTTTGCATTGTGTGGTTTGTAGTTTACACTTTTCTACGAGACTGAGAGGCTGCGTTAAGATTACTTTTGCGTAATTCCGCGGTAGAGCACAGATGCTTATGGCAGAAGCAAGGATTTAATATAGAAAAAAAAACGCAGTCAGTTGGTTCCCGTGGACAGGAGTTGTTTATTGTGAGACACATTTTCTCGAAAGTGTGTTTATAATTGGCTGCCGTGTTGTTTACCACGACATGGATTGCTGTTGCGAGTCTCCTCCATCAGAGCTTCCACCAAAGCCTCCACCAAAGCCTCCACCGAATCCACTGCCACCACTGGATCCACCGAAGCCGCTGCTAGATCCACCGAAGCCGCCATATCCGCCATAACCGCTGGATCCACCGAGACTGCCGAGGCCACCAAAGGCTCCACTGGATCCTCCATAACCTCCACCAAATCCACTGCCGCCACTGGATCCGCCGAAGCCGCTCATTCCACTCATGCCGCTCATGCCGCTCATGCCGCTCATTCCGCTCATGCCGCTCATGCCGCTCATGTCGTTCATGCCGCTCATGCCGCCCATGCCGCTAAGCCCTCCGAAGCCACTGCTGCTGCCTGATCCACCGAAGCCTCCACTTAGGCCACTGCCGCCGAAGCCACTGTTGCCGAAGCTGTAGCGCCTACCACGTCGGCCACGTCCGCGGCGTCGGCGACTCAAGAGTCCACCAAGTCGACCACTAAGGCCACTGCTTCCAAAGCCGCTGATTCCTCCGAGTCCGCCAAAGCTGCTTCCACCGAGTCCTCCGAAACCACTGCCTCCGTAGCCACCACTGCTGCCTCCCATGCCACTCATACCACTGAAGAGACTGCTTAGGCCACCGCTACTGCCTCCGTAGCCACCGCTGCCAAAGCCGCTGCTGCCTCCGCTCATACCACCGAAGAGACTGCTTAGGCCACCACTACTGCCTCCGTAGCCACCACTGCCAAAGCCGCTGCTGCCTCCGTAGCCGCCGCTGCTGCCTCCCATGCCGCTCATACCACCGAAGAGACTGCTTAGGCCACCGCTACTGCCTCCGTAGCCACCACTGCCAAAGCCGCTGCTGCCTCCGTAGCCACCGCTGCTGCCTCCCATGCCACCCATACCACCAAAGAGACTGCTTAGGCCGCCCATACCACCGAATCCACCACTGCCGAAGCCGCTGCTACCTCCCATGCCGCCACTTCGACCAAAGACGTTGCTTAGGCCACCACTGCCGAAACCGCCACTGCTTCCACCAAGCATACTACTCAGGCCACCGCCGCTGCCGCTGCTGCTGCTGAAGCCTGTTTATAGTAGAAAGGTAATATAGTTGTAAAAATGCTCTATGTGATCAATTTAGATTAGTTTAACGCCGTGAAAGGAAGTTAAAAATACCGCTGACAGACAGAACAACCGCAGTAACACGTCTGACATTTCTTTGATCTGTGGAATTCTGATGAAGCTACGAGGTTTATACAACAATCATTCAACATATAAATTACTCGAAGCATTCGAGAAGGTGAAAGCGTTTGTTCACTTGCACTGGCAATAGCATAATAACGTATATTCAGCATTATGTAGGCCATATGTACATTTAAGACTTCTCATCTAGTCCCTTTATGAATGCAAACGCGTATGGACGCAGCCGTTTAAACTATACAACCTCGAAGACGAGTAATTAAAGCTCCGAAATTCAGGCAGTCAGAGTAATGTTTTAAGCTAATCTAGGACGATTTTACAGTCGTTTACACTGCCCTGCTACGTATTATGATGGTAGGTCGGTCCTGGTCATTGTTACTTCGAAAAAAAAAATCTCGAGACAGCTTCCATGTATTCTGGGCATGATCAAATACATGAACTATTTTGAATACTTACAAGACATTCTAAGTATGCGTGGTCAAAAATCTTTAGCTCTGAGCAAAACACAGATGGAGGGAATAGCTTTTTCACAAAAAGAGACGTCAGTAGCTCGAAAACATGCTATTCAGTAGGGACGGTGGCTTTTTGACAGCCAAGGCGATATGCGTACAGAATAGAGTTTTCACAGATGCAATAAACAGAGGAGTACAAAAGCCTTAGTTCAATGCCGGTAAATTTCCCGTACTTTCTTGGCTTACTGCTGAACATTAGCGTTTATTCTCAGGCTCATTGAGTTTAAAACCTATACGCTTTTCGAATAATACTGGATGCAACGAGGTTCTAAATTTACGTAATTACAAAATTTTAAAGAATATACGTCTCAAAAGCGCAATATTATTATAACTAATGCCACAGTAGAGGCTTCCGTGTTTAGCTTGCATTCCCGAATTTCGCTAGCACGCCTATCCATTAAGGTAAAAAGGCCCTCTCGCATTTCGCTCTATTGAAATGCGGGTGCCGTGGATGGAAATCTAGCCGATTCCCTTGAGCTTAGCTACGCAGCATCGTGCATGCTAAAGAACCATGCTTGGTTGCTGCTTCAAGAGGTCGAGACAAAAGTAAAATGATGAGCAAGATGGCAAAGATGTTCTATCACCTAAATGTTCAATATCAGTTCGCAGGTGCTTGAAGTTCTAGTTCTAGAAGTCGCTAGTGGATATTTCCGACACTCACACAAAGCAAGCAGCGACATAGGTGGAAGTGGAAGGTCAACTATTACTGTAGTGGTATAATGAATTGCAAATGTTCACTTCGCCATGTTATCGGGAGACTAGCTATACTAGGTATAACTCCGAGCCCATTTTTGCTTCCAAGCCCTTTTTAGCGTGTACCTGAAAAAACTCAGCACACCAGAGTTTTGGCATTTCGTTCTGATCACAGTCGGGTCGTATCGCTGATTCTACAACCTCTAACAGATTTCGAGACCACTTGGCGGAAACATTCGCGAGTAGGCAATGCATTGATATCAGAATGAAAGATTTCTCTGTATTTTTACAAATACCGTAAAGGCCGCGCAACATAACAGTGTTTAAAAGAGCTCGACTATCTTCTTTATGAAGATGTAATACCTGATCCCGTAGACAGCTAGTGGTTCATATTTTATGACAGTTTTTTGCAAAATGTGTCAAAAGAGCACGCCTTCCCAATAATCCAGAAAGAGGTGTTCATCGCTCTGAGGTTTTCAACAGCCATGACGAGTGCTTGAGGAGCAGCCTTTGCAGAACCTATTATTAACTTTTTTTGGGGGATGGGTGAAAGTACATTGTAATAAAGGTTGCAGCGCAAGCACTGTATAGCTTGCACTGCAATTTAACACTCTAGCTTGAATAGCCGTTCTTCTTGGTGCAACTACAGTTGCATGGTACACGTGTGCGTCATAAGTCATCCTGAGTTTTCGAAGTTGGGAAGTACCCTCTATGCCGCTACTTATTTTAAAAACTGTACGCAATTTTTCTAAATAAACTCGAAATCATTGCTGTTGAGCTGGTTAATTCCTGATGTATTGAAAAGTTATTGGTGATCGAAAGATGCAATGCACACTCACCATCTGGGTAAAATGAGTATCGCGTTTGATACCCCGAGGCAAGGTAAGCGAGCGAAGCGACGAACGTGCAGGCTAGGAGCAGACGAGCCATGGTTCCTGTCCCGGGAGATGGCAAGGTCTTGGAGTCTCCAGGACACTGGTGGGCCTTATATACAAGTGCAACTGGTCCGCTCTCTCCTACCTAGGTGAAGGACCCAGGGGAAAAAATAGCTCGTTGCAAAGATTGTTTGTAAGCGACAGTATTGTCCGCATACTAAAAAAGACGCTTGCATACTTTTTTTTATTCTCGGAAGATGCAACTATTGGAAATGCGCTCGAAAAGATCCGTTTGCATCTTGAGACAGTGGGAGACCTTGGCTTCTTCGCACTGTCAGCGCTGCCACTTGATGGACAAGCGCTTAGGCAGCCTAGTGATTGATCTGCAGGCACGCATGCTGGCTTTGTTTCTATGCTTAGACTCAAAAGCCGCCATCTTACTCAGAAAAGCGTGGCCCCTGGGCGTTGCGAAGCTGCATCATGTCCTTGAATAAGAAACTTTCTTATTAACAGCCGATGTGTGGCAGAATGAAGAGTCCAAGATGGATGATCCAGTGCTCGTTCCACTTTTGTCCTTTAGGTGTATTTATTACAAATTTAGCTTTTTGCTACGTAAAAATTGCAACGTCACATAAAATCGTTCTGTAGTAGTAGTATTTAATACCTTGCTTGCCGCATGATGATATGACATACGTAAACAAATTGATGAGAGATCAATAAATGCCAACCATTTATTTGCGTACTGCAAGCATTTTAGGTATCTATATATCTAAATGCTTTTGTCTGTAGGGGCTGTCGTGATCACCTTCTTAACTGCGCATGAAACAAATTCAGTATGGGTGGGTAACTTGGTTTGACAAATATGACAAGCTGGTCAGGATATGAATAAGGTCTCAATACCATCGCGTTCATCGTCAATAACATTCCCGCCAGAGTGGCACATAGCCGCTCGCGGCTTTGTGCCGCTGGTATGTTGGTATGGGCCACAGGCTATTGACGCTTAGTATTTACCCCGGAATAACGTAAACACACATGCGCAATTTGAACGCTCTAGCGTGAAGAAAAACCTGACATCAGCAGCGTTGACCCGACGAATGCTAAGAATAAATGACCGGGTCTCAACAGGAATTGAACCACAGCATTATGCGTGGCAATCAGGCATTCTACCATAGAACAACGCCAGGTCTCAGAACTATACACTTTTAAAATAGACGCCAATGGTCATGAAACTTCATTTGTCATCATTGCAGTGCTGACTATCCAATTTTATAAACATTGCACGCGCACTCCCATGATACAGCCATTACGTCGAGTTGGCATAAATTTTAGTTATATGTCATCTGCTGAAGTTGGTTTACGTATGCGTGTGCCGGGCTATCACCCTCGCGAGCATCAGCACTTCATATAAACATATCGATTATGTTGTTGCTAATACTCATGTTCTTGTTGGCGTCGTTGCGCAAGTGCGAACTACTGGTTACATGAATTTCAGTGACTGTTCAACATATGTTTGTGTTGCAAAATTTGATTGATTAATTGATTGATTTGTGGGGTTTAACGTCCCAAAACAACAATACGATTATGAGAGACGCCGTAGTGGAGGGCTCTGGAAATTTTGACCACCTGAGGCTCTTCAAGGTGCGCCCAAATCTGAATACTCGGGCTGACAACATTTCTGCCACCATCGGAAATGCAGCCGCCACAGCCGGGATTTGTTGTTGGATCAATTTTGTTGTTGCAAGCCCTGTTGATTTTTTGTTGCAAGCCCTGCCACTAAACCACCGTGGCAGGGCTTGCAAAAATTCTACATATATACATTGTTATCTCACAACATGTCGCTGAATATAAAGTTTACCACTATTACACGGTCATCTCCCCCCCGCAGGCTTCGCATAACATCGATGCGCTGGATACGTGGGATCTGCCAATTTTTATCTGGATATTACGGGAACGCCTGCCAATTTTAATCTGCATATTACGAGAATGGCCGTTCCAGCCTAAACGAGTGTTTTAGTGGGTACTGATTTCTATACTATGTGTGTTCAAGAATGAAATAGTATTGTTATGAAGGCACGCGAAGGGCATGTAGCACATAGGTAAGATCATAGAGTTTCCTAATATACACTAGAGGGAACTCTGGCGCTAGTGTCTACTGGGAGCTGCGATGAATGGCGCTTCAGCGAGCATGGGAATGATGGGTAGTACACACATTTGTCTAATTTTCATACTTATTGCCTACTTTTGGATCCGTGTGTGTTCGTGTGGCTTGAAGCTGTTTTCTTACGAAACAAAAGTTAACTAATGTTCAGCGGTTGCGCTTCACCACCTAAATTTTTAGACTTAATTTCCAAATCCGGTCACGAAGTTCAAAAAGGTTGAATCTTTCTTTCAAAACAAAGCCGAAAAAAGCAATAAACAAAGCCGCAAGTACGATTCGCCGTCCGCCATTACGAAGACTAGGCAAATGTGTGTGCTACCCATTATTCCCATGTTCGCTGAACGATCGCAGCGCCAGAGTCTCCTCTAGTGAACTTTAGGAAACTCTATGGGTAAGATAAACGCTGGTCATTTGGAGAAAAAAATTAGATTTAAAGAGAAGGCAAGCGTGAAAAGAGAGAAATAAAATAGGCAGGGCAGATAAGATTAACGGGTTTTTGAGTATAATGAGGCCGCAGCCAGCACAGGGGCGCGTTGAATATTGAAACATGGGAGTTGCGTTTGAGAGAAATTGGTTTCCAGGAAAGCTCTCTATGAGAAAGCTCTCTACTTTTGCTCATTTGAGGTGGACACTTGCGACCTTATTAGCAAGAATTCGGGCAAAGATGTGACTCAACGGGATTCAGTTTATCGTGACAACAGCGAATTCTGGGAGCGTTTGTTATATCATGAAGTAATATCAGATACAATACGCCTGAAAACCGTGATATGATTACGTAAGAGAGGAGACGCTGGATCGACGTGGCTGTAGGTAAAATATATTGTAGCCAGCAGTTGCGACGTGACCGGCTGATCAGCGACGAAGCGGAGACAACCCTTCGTCCTCTTCGGCAGGCACACACATGGATAGTCACTGTCAATACGCATTCATGCAGCATGTTTCCCGGGGCACTATCTGCCGTCCCAGCGCATGTATATGTCAACGTCTCAGGGAGAGTGGTATATGACCTCAAGCGCGTCACAATACTGGTAGCCAGTGGGGATGATGAAGGTGACTGGCCGACATGGGCAATTTCATATGTCACCGGCGTAACCACACGAAGGACACGGCACATACTTGTGTAAAGAGAAAGCAGTTTTTCTGAGAAGCCGGCACGAAGGGTCCGAGAGCACAGAAGGACCAAAGAACCGGGTGAAATGTGAACGTCATGGTGTCGTTGTTCGAGCAAACGCCTTTGGTTTTCTTGAGCCTTAGGGGAGAAAGTGATTACGGGCAATTTCGCGTGCGTGTGCAGCCCGAGTTATAGCGTCAATGGCCTATTCACTGGTTGGTACTGTGGTAGACTGGATGACTGTATCTAAAGAAAAGGTTGGTTCTAGGCCAAACGTGGGAAAAAATGAAGAGTAACCGGCAGTGCCATGGCGTGAACACTTGTATGTTAATGTCACGTATGGTAAAGCAAGATCCTATGGAGCCCAAGGGGTTTGAAAAAATATACATAACGAGCATGTATGTAAGTGTTCGACGTAGACGATCCTTGAGTTCATTAGTCTGCGGATGATATGACGCAGTGAGCTTGTCTCTCGTTTCACACGACTGCAAGATGTCGTCTATGTCCTTCGATAGCGAAGTGCGGCCATGGACTCTAAGCATGCTGGCGTGGAGCTACATGTTGCAAGATCATGTCGTGTAGGAGAAAGTCAGTGACATCTGTAGCGCAGCTTGTTGGATGTGCTCGTGTGATGGCGTAGCGCGTGGCGTAGTCTGTTGCCACAACTATTCACCTGTTGTAGATAAGAGAAAAAGGCCCAGGAGGTATAAGCCGACGCGGAAGAACGGCTTTGAGGGAATGACGAGTGGTTGAAATAGCCCAGCGGGAAGCGTTGATGGTGTCTTGAGGCGATGACATTACTCACAAGTCACGACACATTTTATTACCGATCGTGCAAGCCCTGGCCAAACGAAGCCTTGGCTGACCCAGTTGTAAGTGCGTGACGCACCAAGGAGACCGCCAGTAGGAAGAGAATGAGGTTCTTGTAGAGCTGGTGAGCGAAGGTGTTTCGGTATGACAAGCAGCAGCGCTGGTTCATGCGGGTAAACTTTTGGCACACCACAAGGAGGGCGCACCATAGGGAAGTTGTTCAGCAAGAAGATCATCACGTCAGTCCGCAAGGTTTCTTGCGGGATGTACACTGTTGCTACACTGTTGTACACTGTTGTACACTGATGTACACTGTTGTACACTGTTGCGGCGAAGCCGTGCGCTGTCTTAAACCGCGCAAGCGTCACGCTAACTCATCTGGGCCAGCGAGTTCAGTTTGACCGTCTAAAATGAAAGTGGTGGTGCTCATTTCACTGGAATCTGAATTCACCGGCATGGCAGGGCCAGAAACTTCTCGAGTTGTGCTGGACTTGATGCGAGTAAATTTCCTCTTGCTTCAGAGTGAAACTGGAGCGACAGACACTTTGGAATGCCCCTTTCATCCAACTATGTGATTCGGTGGACCCACTTGTCTGCTGATCAATCCATCTGACACGTCAATATTTAGAGAAAGCATGCATGACTTGTCCACACTAAGTACATGTTTTGTTCAAGAAGGTTTCTTTTAAGCTCATTGTCAGTAAGCCTGTAGTAAACGGTGTGTATACATAGCTCACCGTTAATGGGATCGACATTATAAGCGGCGTGATCTAGGTTGTTAATGCAGCATGCTGAGGAGCGACGTATCGTTGGTTCGAATCCTTGGTGGGAGTCTTGAAAATTTCAAGTGCGAAGCATTTCTTAGTGAACTTCAACGGCTTTACCGTATACATCTATCTGCTTACGACTTTAAGCTCTTTTGGCCATTTCGATAATGGTATCCATACCAACACTGGTTTGGTATGAGATCACTTGTATTTATCATCATCATCGAAATTGTGATGAAAGTGAC